AGTTTGGAATAATATTAATTTTATATTTTTTCTTTATTATTTCTGTGGCTAACTTTTAACTAGTTTGCCAACCGCTATAAAAACCTCACAAGAAGAAGAAGAAGGGCAGCACTAAGTTTTCTCTCTCAGAGCTCATCCTGGTCCAGCTTTGCTGCCATATCAGACACCATCATGGTGATCCATCATGGTGATCCATCATGGTGATCCAGCATGGTGATCCATCATGGTGATCCATCATGGTGATCCATCATGGTGATCCATCATGGTGATCCATCATGGTGATCCAGCATGGTGATCCAGCATGGTGATCCATCATGGTGATCCATCATGGTGATCCATCATGGTGATCCAGCATGGTGATCCAGCATGGTGATCCATCATGGTGATCCAGCATGGTGATCCATCATGGTGATCCAGCATGGTGATCCATCATGGTGATCCATCATGGTGATCCATCATGGTGATCCATCATGGTGATCCAGCATGGTGATCCATCATGGTGATCCATCATGGTGATCCAGCATGGTGATCCATCATGGTGATCCATCATGGTGATCCATCATGGTGATCCATCATGGTGATCCAGCATGGTGATCCATCATGGTGATCCAGCATGGTGATCCATCATGGTGATCCATCATGGTGATCCATCATGGTGATCCATCATGGTGATCCAGCATGGTGATCCATCATGGTGATCCAGCATGGTGATCCAGCATGGTGATCCAGCGTGGTGATCCATCGTGGTGATCCAGCGTGGTGATCCAGCGTGGTGATCCATCATGGTGATCCAGCATGGTGATCCAGCATGGTGATCCAGCATGGTGATCCATCATGGTGATCCAGCATGGTGATCCAGCATGGTGATCCATCATGGTGATCCAGCATGGTGATCCATCATGGTGATCCAGCATGGTGATCCAGCATGGTGATCCAGCATGGTGATCCATCGTGGTGATCCAGCGTGGTGATCCAGCGTGGTGATCCATCATGGTGATCCAGCATGGTGATCCAGCATGGTGATCCAGCATGGTGATCCATCATGGTGATCCAGCATGGTGATCCAGCATGGTGATCCAGCATGGTGATCCATCATGGTGATCCAGCATGGTGATCCATCATGGTGATCCATCATGGTGATCCAGCATGGTGATCCAGCATGGTGATCCATCATGGTGATCCAGCATGGTGATCCATCATGGTGATCCATCATGGTGATCCATCATGGTGATCCATCATGGTGATCCAGCATGGTGATCCAGCATGGTGATCCATCATGGTGATCCAGCATGGTGATCCAGCATGGTGATCCAGCATGGTGATCCAGCATGGTGATCCATCATGGTGATCCATCATGGTGATCCATCATGGTGATCCATCATGGTGATCCATCATGGTGATCCATCATGGTGATCCATCATGGTGATCCAGCATGGTGATCCAGCATGGTGATCCATCATGGTGATCCAGCATGGTGATCCAGCATGGTGATCCATCATGGTGATCCAGCATGGTGATCCAGCATGGTGATCCATCATGGTGATCCATCATGGTGATCCAGCATGGTGATCCAGCATGGTGATCCATCATGGTGATCCAGCATGGTGATCCATCATGGTGATCCATCATGGTGATCCATCATGGTGATCCAGCATGGTGATCCAGCATGGTGATCCATCATGGTGATCCAGCATGGTGATCCAGCATGGTGATCCAGCATGGTGATCCAGCATGGTGATCCATCATGGTGATCCAGCATGGTGATCCATCATGGTGATCCATCATGGTGATCCATCATGGTGATCCATCATGGTGATCCAGCATGGTGATCCATCATGGTGATCCAGCATGGTGATCCATCATGGTGATCCAGCAGGGTGATCCAGCATGGTGATCCATCATGGTGATCCAGCAGGGTGATCCAGCATGGTGATCCATCATGGTGATCCATCATGGTGATCCATCATGGTGATCCATCATGGTGATCCAGCATGGTGATCCATCATGGTGATCCAGCATGGTGATCCATCATGGTGATCCAGCAGGGTGATCCAGCATGGTGATCCAGCATGGTGATCCAGCAGGTTTCCATGTCAGTTCTTCTCTCTAATCTTTAAGGCTTCTATCTTCGCTCTGGGATTTTCCAGTGTGGCTCCAGTTAAACCAGGCAGGTACATGCTGGTCCTTGTAGTTGGGTTCATGGGGAAATGTTTAGAAAACTGAACTTTTCTGGCTGCATGATGCCTTCACTGACTGGGTTTAATCTTTGAACCCAGAGCTTTAAGAATCTTGGTCCATTGATGTAAAATTCAAAAAGATGAAATTAAAATGAAACGCCATCAGGATGGGAATTTTTCAATGGGATGAGGTCAGTCTGTAGATGAGCTTTTAAAGGAAAGAAGTGCTCATATTCAGAATTCTGCTATGAAGGTGATGGGAGGACAGAACAGCTCTGCCTTCAGTCTGTACTCAGGCAGGCCACTGCTGGACCCGTCCCACATCCTTCATCAGGAACACAAACTCTTCCCTTCAGAACGTTCAGAATCCCAAAACCAAACTGAGCTGCTTTAAATGCTCCTTTATATCCACTTCCATCAATGTTTGAAATAGATCTGTAAGGAGAGAAAGAGGAATGCAATAACTGTGGTCTGCTTGTTGTGTTCTATTTTTAATTCTTTAGAGGATGTGTTTGTAATATATGTGTGCGTTTTTAGCTGGTATTAGTTTTTCATACGTATGTATTTCTGATGGCAGGTACTACTGTGCTCTGCTCACCTGGGACAAATTTCCCTTAGAGGACAATAAAGTAGATTTTATTCTATCATCTTCAGGAGGACGGGGCTTTGCAAGAATTAATAAGCAACATATCCTCATAAAGCAAGTCTAGAAATACATCCTACAGGCGTTCACTATTGAGTCACTATGATGGACGCTTTAAGGTTTGTGAGTCATTATGGTGAACATCAGGAAGCAGCACAGCACTGAGGTCAGAAGGTGGATGATGATGTTTGGAAACTCAGCTGATCTTTATGATCAACTGAGCCCCCATCAGCTGAGGCCCACTGGGGTTCAAGGAGACAGAAGCAGACATAGAAAAAGAAGAATAGATACAAAAAGCAACTGTCAACCAGCTCCACAGGCGGCCCCGTCAAGAGAGATAGAATGAAGTAGAATGATGAAAAAGGGATCCCCATGTCCTCCAGCAGTCTAAGCTTATAGCAGCATTAAACTTTAGCTTCTTTGTTTCATATTAGGTTAACCTGGAAAAAAAGTTTGTTTTTTGACCCCTCTTCATAACAGACTTAAATCACCACCTTATCTGAACTAAAGGAAGTCGGAAACAGTTTGGCAAACTTTGAACAAAGAGGCTTCGTTTGGATGCAAACGCTGCTTCTTTTTAGGATGCTGTCTGTGGACCATCTCATTCCCAGAGCTATTCTGGTCCCTGTTTATTTGCACATCTGTCCTAAAGAACAGCATCTAGGAAGTAAATATCTCCCCTCCACATCTCAGAGCAGAATGGGAAGAAGGCGTCTTCCATCATCTGAAGCTTAATGAGGCCGTTGTCATGATTGGTTCACTAAAAGCGACCCAAGAATGCAGAACACCACTGACGGACACAAGGATGAAAGTTTAACAGTTTATTTATGCACAAGCACATAGAATACACTGGTTCAGGTTCGGGGCCTGGATACTGGTTCACCGGAGTCTGCGTGAGAGACAGTTCAGTTAGTGTTGCCAACAGAGGTTTGATTTCCAGAGGTTTACTGATTGTACCTTGAGGGTTCTTGAGGTTAGCTTGGGAGAGTCACTGTTGGTTCTGGAGAAGAGTTCATCAGCAGAGTCCGTTTGCTGCTTCAGCGTCTCACGTCTAATTTGAACAGACCTTGGCTTTGGGTTTTCCAGCTCTAGTCCAGAGCTGCTTGGAGGTTCTCTGTGAATCTTCAGGTTTGGCTCTGAGGGTCGGCTCGGCAGGTTAGCTCTTCCTGAGCTTTCACAGAGGAGGCACAGGTTTCCTGGAAAACAGATACAAGGGTTAGAATCCAAGCTGGATTCAAAAGTCATCAAAATACTCTGAGGATCAAGGCTTAAGCGCTGACCAACTGGAACAACACTGCGGCGTTGAGGCAAGGTCTGAAGACAGCTTATATAGTGGATCCTCTGTTGATCTCTGACGAGCTGCAGCTGTGCAGGAGGCTCCCTCAGAGGATCCACGGCGGACTCTGCTGGAGAAAGATGGGATTTCTCCAGCTCCCAACAGCTGTCTCATTTAGTGATGTAAACATGTTTAACTGTTCCAGCTCTGAATGCTCTGACTGATGGCAGCGTCGTTTCATCAGAGCAATAATTGATCTTGAATGATCCCATCTGTTCTCTCTGCCGCCGTAAAGTTGAATCTTCGGCTCTGGAGCAGGGATGGTATTTGTGGTGCTTCCTGGTAAAAACTGTAGATAATCTGGATCATAAACAGCCTCCTTCCTGTTTGATCGAATCGCCAGCAGAGAAAACTTCTCGTTTATCCCTCTTCTACGTTTCTCTCTTTAAAAAATTCTGTTTCACTTCTTTCACTGTTTTGTTCCTCTGGTCTTTCTCTTTTCCTCTCCTGGTCTCTTTCCATCTCATCCTACATTTTCTGTACTTCTAATCTGACAGTTCCTGCTTTCTTTTCTGCTTCCTGTTTGTTTCCACTCCTCCTATAGGACAGAACTGCTTTAAACAAACTTTGACTTCTGTTAAGCCTTGATGCATTACTGATGTCCTTAAGGTGTGTGAATGGATGTAAGTCTGACAACAAGCTAACATAAACACAGCATATCTCTTCCTGTGGTTTTATCCTCCCTTTCCTCTTTTAATGTCCCATTTTTGTTCTTTTGATCCTTTCCTCGCTCTCTCCTCCCTCCTGCAGCAGCAGTAGAACCTCAGCCCTCCTTCCTCCCAGCTGATGGTCCAATAGGAACAGGGTGGGAGGCAGATGGGGCTCACTCCCTCCAGATGTGGGACTCGCCGCTCTGCGTTAACCACAGTGAAACGTGAGCTCTCTCTGCTGCTCTGCAGCCTGTATTTTTGGGATGTTTTAAACGGGCCGGGACCTAGAGACGTTCCCAGGCCGGAGGCCGGCCTGTGCATGTTTCTGCTCTTTGGAAGACAAGGCGAGAAAGAAGAAGAGGAGACATTGTTTCTGCAGAGGAAGAAAGGGATAAACGGTAAAGTTTGGGTTCGGTCCCTTCAAGCATCCGTGGAGCTGAAGCTCAGTTGACTGAGGAAGCAGCATAATTGTGGGTTTAAATGTTATTTTTGCCAGAAACTCTCAGATTCTGTCTCTGATTGGTCGGTTGAGTCGCAGCTTTTTGTCTTTCTGCTCCAGTTTAAAGCAGCTTCTGATTCCATTAAAACGACTTATTCTCATCTTTAACTTTCGGTTAAATCTAAATGGCTCTGAACTACTTGGTGGTTACCATGGCAACATTCGATAGTCCTGTCTGACTGACTTTATAAAGTCAATGTGGCTCAAGAGCTGATTATTTCTGCAACAAGTTGACGGTCATTTCCAACTAGTTGCCCTCAGAGGGGCAGCAACCTCCTGCTGTCTAGGTTGCATTTTCTGTCTGCATGAAAGTGCGTCCAGAAGCTGAGGACACAGAGCAGTTTGGATGAAGTCTGTCCAGAGGGAGTATCATGATTCCCGAGCTCTGGATGAAGATTGGCAGAAGAATATTAAATATTCCAACAGAATCTCCAGGCTTTGCATCCATGAGGTCTGATACCTGTTTCTGGACAGCAGGTGGAAGTTTCACATAATCCATCCCCTTCAGTGTCCGCCATATTGGATCAGTCCATTTGCTGCACATGTTCAGAAAGGTCCAAACAGACAGCAGCAAACCATTTGAAAACAAACCATGCAAAGAGCAGTGTTGCCAACTTAGCGCTTTAGTCGCTATATTTAGCCACTTTTCAGACCCCTCTAGCACTTTGATTTCTAAAAAGCTCCTAGCGCCAAATCTAGAGACTTTTTTCTGGTTCATCTGGTCTGTTCCTGTTTGGCTGTGACTCCATCCTGGAGAGAAATATCAGCTGTGCTGCTGCCATCAAAACCTTTGTTTCTAGATGTTGGAGCTTGGCCTGTTTTCCAGTGTAGTCCTGTTTCTCTGACTGTGACTAACTGGATGTGCTCTCTTCATCCTCTGACATGGGAGCTGGCTCGGAGCTCGTCTGCCTGGCTGTGTGTTTCCTGGACGGGGCCGCCTGTGGAGCTGGTTGACAGTTGCCTTTTGTATCTATGCTTCTTTTTCTATGTCTGCTTCTGTCTCCTTGAACCCCAGTGGGCCTCAGCAGATGGCCGCTCACACTGAGCCTGGTTCTGCTGGAGGTTTCTTCCTGTTCAAAGGGAGTTTTTCCTCTCCACTGTCGCTACAAGCATGCTTAGTGTGAGGGATTGCTGAAGAGTCAATGAGTCGAATCAATCAGCTGGTTTTCCTTAGATAGAAAACTTTGAATCAATCTGACTGGATGATCTGGTGAACTGGAAAGTGACCTGAGATGACATGATGTGAATTGGAGCTATAGAAATAAACTGAATAGAATTGAAATTTTCCTGACAGAATAAGTGAGAGAAGGACTTACAAGTAATTTAAAGGTTAACCAAACTTAGGCTCTACTTGTTTCCATAAACAGCATCAGTACCACAGCTTTCTGCTACTGGAAGTTAGAAAAGTAGCTGTTTACACACAGACAGAAATGGTGCATTCAATGATCCTCAGAAACGTCAATTTTACAAGTTCCAGTGACTTAATCTCAGAGGTAAATTGATTCCAGTTTTTCCCCTCAGAGATCAATATTTTCTCCAACATGGTCACTGTTAATACCTTATCAATGACAAAAAGACTTTCTGAGCAGTCAAACATAATTGTCTTCTAAACAATTACAAAAAACCCCAAAATGACAGACTTTTTTATAATGAATAAAGAATGCCCAGAAAAGGGTGAACAGTAGTTTCGCTGCTGTCGATGCAAGTGGCAGCCATCTTGAATATGAAAATCGGATCACATCCCACTGCACCGACGTTCCACCTCATAAATCCAACCTTTGGGGCGTAGCAGGTGAAATTGCCTACTTGAAGCTGAGCATTTTATTTAAATTATTAGGTGAACGTTTGTCAAGGCGTTAATTTGTCTGGAAAACCCTTAACAGCCATGAAATGTTCCCGTCTGACAACATTATGTCGACTAAAGGCTTTTTAAACTCAAACACCAACCAAAATGAAGCTTGAGGCAGAAAAGATGGATGAAGATGCCCGATCGTCCGTTACAAGGATCCACAGTCCGTCACCGAAATGTTTCCAAGGCCCTGGTTAAAGTCTGGATAGACTGAGCGGACAATAAACAGCCCATAAAGTTAGAAAAAACATGCTATCATATATCATATATGATAACAGATTATTATGAAAAATATTTGCCTGATTTAATGATTTATATGTTTTTTAAGGTAATAACTTAGTCTGAAGGATTGAATATAAGCAGCACTAGATTAAACGCATTCATCAGATCAGACTCACTATTTAGTGAGTCCACCTGTTTTCAGGAGGACTTTCTCACTTCAACATAGATTCTAACTACTTTTTACCTGCTGATCACAGCTAATATAGCAAAGCTGCTCTCTGCATTGAACACAGGAGCAGCAGAAACATCTGGACTCATTTTACTGGACGTCTGACCTTAATGTGGATCAGAGATGAAGCAGCGGAAGCTTTATTGATGCTGAGGACGTGTTTTGCATGAACATAGCATCAGATTTAGCTTCCTGGCTTTTTGCAGGGACAGAGTAAAAACCTCTTTGTGTGTTTGATCAATTAGAAGACAGACAGTGATGTAAGATAATGTAACATCATTGCTTTTACAGTGTTGGATTTCTGTTTATTTATTTTTTTCTTATTTTGGGAGAAGAGTCATTCTTTTGCGTTTTTTTCCTGACCTCCACAGAAATGGCTGAAGATGTCTGTGGATTCTGAGAACTCCTGTATTCTGGTGGCGTCCCGAGAATCCAGGACGTCCTGCATCTTCCAGACAGCTGATGAGAACGATGAAATCCCAGGGGTGGGAGAGGAGAGGTGAGCGAGATCCTAGAATCCAGTCAGAGCACCTGCTGTTAGAGCAGCGATTCAACGCATCTTCTTCCTCCTCTGTCCGGCAGCGTTCTGGAGATGCTGAGTTACTCCAAGTTCTCGGACCTGGAGACATGGCTGTGCATGCCGTCCTCCGTCCTGCTGTCCAGGCCGCTGGACATGAACCGCACCTGCTCCTCCTGCTCCACCTTATCATCCAACCACTCCTCCAACTCGCCGACCATGTCCTCTTCATCGTCTGCAGCCTCCATCTCCCGGCGCTCCATCTGCAGCGAGCCAGGAGACTCTCTGCTCAGGTGAACCCGCTGCTGCTGTCTGGTTTCACTCATCGACTGAACATTTAGAACAAAGGAGTCCGTTTCAGGTGCTGAGATGGTGGAGAATCCTGCAGTCAGACACCTTTCAGTGGTTTGGTTATTAGTCGTGCAGCAGAGCCTCAAATGTCTCACTGACTCACCGAAGCCTCGACTTTTCACTGTAGCAGCTAACTAGCACCTGAATTACTCAGCCAGTCTGGACGGGTGGATTAAGAGTTTTATTTTATTTAATGAAGATCCTCATCACAGTCACCACAGTTACTTCAGTCACACGGAAAATTAAAGTAGTAGGGAAGCGGCTGTTCCAAACGTTGCATTTCTTAGTTCTCCCAAGTGGTGCCCGACTTTACACGAGTGAATAAAGTGAATGTGATTGGTCGATTATCAAAGGGATTGTTGTGGCGGAAGGTTCACAAGCAAGTTTGGTTGTAGCCGGTTTGTGGGAAGCATCTTGCTAACCAGTTAGCAACTTAGCGCTAGCAGGTTCCCAATGGGAAATTCCATTGGGACCAAGTAGCACTAAATTGGTGGCTTAGAAACGACGCTGTCAAGGAACGCTATGGACAGAGGAAACATGCAAGAGGAGGAGAGTTTAGTGTGGGAGGTCGTGGATGAGTCTCCTCCGTCATCCATTTTTTATTTAGAGGAGGAAAGCGGGGACGAAGATGTTGTGGAAGAGGACGCCAGGGCGGCAGAAGCTTGGTTTGGTGTAGAAGGCTTCCAGCCGTACATGTTTGAGCCCTTGCCTCGCAACGCTGCCAGTTCTGTTAGCTCTACGCCTGCCGAAGACACAGACGTCCATCCCCGTGAACACTGGGACGCAACTCAATGGGAAAGGAAAGGATTCTGATTTCAACCGTTGCGTATATTAGCTGCGACATATGAAACAAGATGCTATGACCGAAAACATTTGATTGACGGATGACCGTTGATATATGATTGGCCGAATTTAGGTGTTCAGGCTGACGTAGAACTAACTGGCCTGCAGAAGATAACGAAAAAAAAACAGATTTTAAGATGGAATTTTTTTTCTATAGAAATTTTCCACATTTTGGGACAATATCATCTGATAAAGAGAACATTTATATACATGTTTAAGCCAGAATGAGTTGACATATGATTTCCCTACGACTTTAACAGAAACATAGAAAGCCCATAGAAAAAGAAGCATAGATACAAAAAGCAACTGTCAACCAGCTCCACAGGCGGCCCCGTCCAGGAAACACACAGCCAGGCAGACGAGCTCTGAGCCAGCTCCCATGTCAGAGGATGAAGAGAGCACATCCAGTTAGTCACAGTCAGAGAAACAGGACTACATCAGGCTTCCTGACATCCTCTTATTCTCTGCTTTCCATCTGAGAAACTCGCTCATCAACAGAACCTGATGCAGGTCCAATAAGTAGACTGAAAAACTCATTTGTTGTACAAGACAGGAAGGAAGTCCAGCTGTTCTATGGAACAACCTGCATGTAGGAGGATGTCAAGCAGATGTTCAGGGTGGAAACAACTTCTAGATTTTACAAGTCTGGATTTAATCAGCACCAAATGTGGTTCAAGGGAGGAAATCAGGACAGCAGCTCCTTCCAGTCTCATTCTAAAAACCTGCTGAAGTCTAGAACATGTTGTAGATGTATGTCTAGACCCGGTCAGCTCAAGTTTTCCCGGTTTGGTTGAACATCTTAGCCCTGGAAACATTGGTTTTCCAGTAGAACTCCTGTTTCCTGCTTTCATGACTCATCCGTGACCAGAAGGAATCTGTGGTGAGCTGCTCTGCTGGAGGCTGATGTCAGAGAATTAAACTGACGCCTCCTGAAAACCAGACAGATGAGGAATGAACTCTGAGTCAACAGGAGAGTCTAGAGCAGCAGGAGCAGCTTTCCTGGTAAACTGGTTCCCAGTAAAAAGCTATAAAATGACCTAAAAGCTTCTGTGGTTTCCCAGCAGCCTTTAATTCCTAATCTAAATCAGTGATGGGCTCTTAGTGATATGATTTCCTCAACCAGGGAGAGCTCTCCTCTTCTTCCTCATTCTACCATTAGGTTTGAGGTTTTCCTTCATTTTGAGAACAATGAAAATAATCTGTGCATAGAGACTCTTAGAGCTCCATGTTGGTGATGTTAAATAGAGAGAACAACAGAACCTCAGCAGAGATAACTGTAGAAATAACTCTGGTGCAGCCATTAACGTTTAAAGCTTCGCCTTCCTCTGTCCACCAGCAGGAACGTTGTTCCTCATAAAGGCATCATGGAGATGGCAGTTCCAGCAGAAGAGATAAGCTCTGCGACGGCGGCAGGAGCCCCCAGGGAAAGCGCTGGTGTTTATAGATGTAGAGGAAACGGATTATAAGGAAGTCTGGTCATTAGGAAGGTCTTCAGACACATCAGTCTGGAATGTTTTAGAAATTCTGCAGGCAGAGCCGCTTGACTGATGCTTCCGTTTTTTAAATTGCTGTCTGAGTGAGAAGTTCGTTGATAAACTCAGAAATCAGACATTAATACTTCATGTGTTTCAGGATGGATCAGAGAGCCTTCTTCATCTCCAGATGTTTAAAGAAATTTCTCGTGCTTTTTTCCATTCTTGGGTTTTTCCAATGATCCTTTTTCAATATCAGACATAGATGAATAAGAAAATCACTTCAAACATTCAAAAGAGGATTATATTCATTAATGGAGACGCAGCGGCTCAGACTGACCAGGCTCCGTGTTTAAAAGTACCCCCCCCCCCCCCATCAGTTAAATCTGTGCTGTGCCGCTCCGTCCAACATGTGGCCAGAGAGGCCCACCAGTGGGTAGGATCTCTGGGACAGAAGTTTTTTATTCCAGCCACTTAAGAAGGTTTTCATTGAGATTGGAACATTGGAAGCCATGTTATTTTTTTGGCTTACATAAGCCCCATTTCCACCACCCTTCAGAAACCGTGCTGAGCGCGGTAACTGAGGTAACTGTTGAGTGTAAATGGCACGCACAACTGAACCGAACTGCGGCAGATACGACCAAACCGCTCTAACATGGTCCTAGTTCATCAGTCGGGCTCGGTGCGGTTCAGTTCTGGCTCGGTTCTCAGATAAAGAACGCATGAGCAGACACCATCATCTCCTTACAGTCAGCCTCCGTAATCATTAATAAAATCCTAGCTTCCCTAACATGCGGCACGATTTCCAGTGATGATTCTGCATCTGGAAGCCCTGATTAGACGATCGTTTGTCGTATCCACTTCCCAAAAGCGACTCTGTCAAGTAAATTCACCAAAGGTTGCCTTCTTCCCCTGACTCTCCACAAACAACAGAATATCACAATTATAACCAAACTTCCTGAATGTTGCGGGCGCCGCCATGTTGATTTTCTTGTTTCACTCTAGAGAGCCGTAGTACCGTAGATCTTCACTACAAGGCGAGGATCTTCACTACCGTGCTAGCGTGGTGTGGAAAGGGTTGTAAGGGGCCAAGTTTGGCACGGTCAACTGATCCAAGCTCGGTCCGAACGATTCGGTTTTCAGACGGTAGTAGAAATGGGGTTTTAGTGTGTTTTTCGAGCCATTCTGAGATAGACTGCTCTGATTTAATATTCTGACTTCAGTTATTGACCAAAGGTCAGTAACTGGTGACCAAGGATTCCTCAGACCACCAACATGTTTGGTTTAAGGTGTTATTTTCATGATATGGTGCATTACCTCACTGCATGCAGAGGGATGCTCTCCTTCAGAGGGTTCAAGGACACAGAAGCAGACATAGAAAAAGAAGCATAGATACAAAAGGCAACTGTCAACCAGCTCCACAGGCGGCCCCGTCCAGGAAACACACAGCCAGGCAGACGAGCTCCGAGCCAGCTCCCATGTCAGAGGATGAAGAGAGCACATCCAGTTAGTCACAGTCAGAGAAACAGGACTACACTGGAAAACAGGCCAAGCTCCAACATCTAGAAACAAAGGTGTTGATGGCAGCAGCACAGCTGATATTTCTCTCCAGGATGGAGTCACAGCCAAACAGGAACAGACCAGATGAAGCTACTATGAGAAAAAGCAGAGAGAGCAGAACGTTAGAGATTGAACTAACAGATTCTGCAGAGTGGGAGAATAGAGATAGAATGAAGCAGAATGATGAAAAAGGGGTCCCTATGTCCTCCAGCAGTCTAAGCCTATAGCAGCAGAACTATAGAGATAGCTCAGTGTGACCTGCGCCTGTTCTCGATTTTATAAGCAGTAGCCTTTCCTTCTAGATCTTCCATGGAGGCCATTTTTGCCTCATATCTCTTTCTTGTTGCCATTGAGTCATGTTCTGGATTCTGTTTCTACCTTCTGGATGAGTTATGAATGACCTCTTAGAATAATTTGAATAGACCAGTTCTACCAGGAAAGTTCTCTTTTGTTTTATGATCTCTATCTTTGTGGATAAAGGCTCTAATTGGGGTCCAGTTGAGTCCCTAATCACAGAACTAACTCTGTTACCCATCAAGAGTGATTCGTGTTTAATACTGAGGGGCTTGATGTCTCACTTTGACAAATTTACAGCCTCCTTCGTTAGCATACCGGCTCTTTTTAAGTACGGTATTAATTCTGCAGGCCATTAAATGAGCCTTGGTTCATCAATTAGTTTGATGATTTCAAACAGAGTCAGAGGGAGGTAACGGATGAAATCTGTAATGGTGCAAATATTTTCACGGCAGCCTATCCACTTCCAACTTTCCACTCATTAACGTCACGCCACATAAAGTCTGATATCTGAAGCACTTGACTCTCGATTTCCTCGATTAACACACACACAGAGTGAGGTAAGGTAACACCGCTGTTCAGCACCATTCACCTGAGAGCCGTGGTGTTCCTTCCCAGCTGGGTCCGATGCTTTATGGGCCCATGATGGATTCAGTCTGAGATGCGCAGTTGGTCCGAACTGCTGGATGTTCTATTGAGGAGGAGGAATAAAGGAAAGCGTCGGTTGAGGGGATCATGGAGGAGTCGCAGCTACGTGGTTTCAGAGGACAGGTGACTCATGCTGAGCGTGTTTCCTGAAGCGCTTACCTTTTGATTCATAGTCTAGGGTTTAATTATGCAGATGCTGGCCTTTTAGTGCAGAACTTAAAAACTTAGAAACTGTGTAGGTCTGTGTAGGATTTGAACTGTGTAGATCTAGTCATGTTAGGTGATTTTCCTCATTATCCTAAAACAGGGATCTGCATTTCATATCCAAATAGCCATTTTGCTCTGAGTCCTACCAAGTAAAAGTTGTTTAGTCGCAAAATCTGACATAACTTTTTAAAAAAAAAACAGCCTATTTATTATTTTTATTTATAATCATGTATAGGAAATAAGTTGTCATCTTTAACAACTAACAGTTTATGTATTTTCAGCTTTTTAAATGATATTAAGACACATAAATCCCAAGCTAATTAAAAAAATGGCCCTTAAAACATATTTCTGGTTCTTTTAATGTGTCTTTTCCATTTTATAAATAACACTAAAGCTTTTAATACTGGCATTTATTATAGTATATTTTATACATTTTAGCCACCATTAAGAGCCGTGGCTCATGTGGCTCTGGAGCCGCAGGTTGCAGACCTTTGTCCTTAAATCTCTCTGAAAATATATAATATTCCCTTTTTATTATTTTAATAGGAAATCACATTTATTTAAAAGGGTCAAGAGTTTTATTTTGTTTGATGATCAAACCTCTGGAGAACTTTTGAGCATCACAGAAATAACTGGATGATGTTGCAAACAACCACAAAGACTTAAACGTCTTTTTCAAACAGCTTTATTTTTCTGAAACGAATACAGAGACATAGATTTAAAGGAAGAGACATCATCTTTAGAGGAGACATCAAACACTAAGGGGCTTGTTTCTGCACCAAGACATCCCACTAACTAAATGAGAACATTTTAGAAAAACCATTTCCAAGTTTCATATGCGATTATGTCTTTGAGGAGGCTGGAGCCTTTATTCTCAGCTGGACCAATCCATAGTGCCAGCATGCTTTAAGTCTGCCTCCATCATTCCAGTCCCAAAGAAGCCTCAGGTGTCAGGAATCCAGTTTGTGTGGTCTGTTTTGTGTCTGTCTCTCCCTCCACCACCAGGTGGCACCCTGCCCTTGTTGGTCCTCCCTGCAAACCTGCGGCTCTTTGGATCATTATCTGGAGGAGTACTTAAGCAGTGGACTGTCACTACCTCGAGGTCAGAGTGTTTGCCAGTTTTGGGAAGTCACCCTGCAAACTGGATGTTGGGCCTTCTCCCCCTGGAAGGATCGTTTGAGCTTCACATTGAGCAGGGGCTACAAACTGTATGTTTGGGTCTTCTTCCTCTGAATGGATTGTTAGAGCTTCACACTGAGCAGGGGATAAATCTCCACATGTACCGTTCATGTTCTCCTGGAAATCTAAGTTACAGTCCGCTCCATTGCTCCTCCAGGTCCAAAGAATAATTACCGGTCTACTCTTCAACGTGTCCCCTCTTCTCTGAATCAACCACACTTACTGGATTCAAAGTGAGAGAAGAGACACCCCAAATGCGAGTCCCTCACTAACGTTATCTTTACGGCATCCAAGATTCCCACAGTCCCTGAACTGATCATTGTCATATCCTCTCTAGACTTCCTAGTTCCTGCTTACCAGTTATTTGAGTTCCAGTTTACCCCCTTCTACCTTTTCCTCAATAAACCAGTTAAACTTTTGCCTTGCTCTCTGAGTGGTTATCTGCATCTTTGGACCTTTAAACACATCATGACATCAGGTGGCCTCCCTCAATGATTAGCGGCCTGTCGCTCTGACTCCCATCATGATGAAGTGCTTCCAAAGGCTGGTTAAAGAACACATCGTCTCCAGTCTCTGAACTGCATCATGTGTCATTGGGGGGGGAAAGCGACAGATGAGAAGCTAGATGACTGGTCATTAATCCAAATCAAACCACTTCGATCTACAGAGTGGTGTGTTTGGTACTTTGTCTGTTTGCTGCAGCCAGAGACTGTAGGAGTCCACTACAATCAGTCTTGATGTTTGACACATTCTTGAACGTCTTTAGAAATACAGTAATAATTCTTTGGCATTCTTGGTGGGAAGACCTTTGATTTTCAGTTCAGCATCCTCCCTTCTTATCTCAGTGTTTGGCAACTTAAGTTTTGCAGCGTTCCCTCTGTTAAGGTCATCTGATGTTTGACCTGCAACCAATCATACTGTTCATTGCAGCCCTATCAGCAACGTAATTCCTCGGCTGCGGCCACAAAACCAGTGATGTCTCTCCAGGTTTTTGGCTCTTGTCTAAGAGGCGCTGGAGAGATAGTGTTTTGGTTTTGATCAATGGATTTTTGCTATTATGTGTAATGAACCGTAGATGTGTAACAAAGCACTGCTCTCAATAAGGCAGGGCTTTGTGACCAGGCACCATGGCTGGACTTAGCAGCAGATGCAGGACCTGCATCAGGGGTATCACCATGGAGTCAGTATCTGACATGCAGGGGACTTGACCAAGCGTCAATATGTGACGAGTTGGGAGTGACCCCTTGCTCACACTGGCTCCGGTGCAGTTACCGAGCCGACGGAGACCGCAACTCCCGCACACCCCCTCTCACACCGCCCTTTTGACTACGGTGCGGTGCGGCTCTGCGGCTCCGGCAACAGGTCCGGAGATTTAACAGAAGTTCACTTGAGTTCACGTAACTTCACGCGATAACACGGCCCAAATAAAGGATTTTTGCGAGAGCTTGTTGCGGAGGGCTCCGGCACGCCACAAGGATAGCTTTCTTGCGGAATTTTCTGCAGCGCCGGAGTGTCTCGGTAACCGCAGCCGGACAGCTCAGCAGCCGGTGAGAGAGGTTTACGTCTTTTTAATGACTTGGAATCACTGCGGCGCCGCACCCACCGCACCGCAACGGTAAGACCGGAGTCGGTGTGAGCCTGGGGTGAGAATGTGTTGTATTATAATGGCTTACCATATGGAAATCCCTTTATTGTCCCACAATGGCGACATTCACCCTCTGCATTTAACCCATGGGGAGCAGTGTTCTGCCATTGTGTGGCGTCCGGGGTGCAGTGGGGGCTTAAGGGTCTTTCTCAGGAACCCGGCACAAGCGCACCACTCAAACCACTAGGCCAACACTCCCTATAACAGCTCCAAAAAAAAGATTACTTGCCTTTATTTTCCTTGCAGGTCCTTGGAGAGAGATCTGACGTTCCTCACACCTGCTCTCGGAAAGGAGGCGACTTTCTTGTCTACGCCGCTCCTGCCCATCCTCTCCTCTACCCCTATTGGGGCTCCACAGACAAACTCAGGGCCAACAGTCAGAGATTCCAATTCCAGCAGTGGTGTCAGCATCAGGAAGCGACGTCGACTTGCTGCCAGTCCCGGAGGACTCCACTGGAACTCCGAAGGTTAGAAATACCTCCAAGGTTTTCATCATTTTGTGTAATTTGTTCCCATTTTGTTCTTGGTTTCTACCTAAATACCAAAAACTGCTGATTTCAGTAAAAGAAAAGACGGTTTCACTCAGGGACCTGTACTGGGAACTCTCCCAGTTAAAGGTATAGTGGAGGATTATCCCTCTCCAGCCGCTCCAGAGAAGGAACACCTATTAAACACGTTAGAGAGCATTCACAAGCCCATTTCTCCTTGTGCACGCTCTGTTTAAAAGTTGCTGTTCGCATCGCTCACACAAGCTTACTTTCCAAAAGAAGATTTGCAATTTTTCTACTATGTCAGACTCACCACTTGCAAGTGAAAATGGGGACCAGCATGTAGGACAGCCTTAAATAAACATATCACTAGAATGATTGACATTTAGGAGGACCACTGACTGAGATGATCCACTCGGAAAAAGAACATCCTCCACTATAGCTTTAGTCCTTTATTCATTTAAACTCCTTCCCTCTCCATTTTAACCTCAATTAATTTCCTAAACTTGATCTTGTTTGATCGTAAAGCCAATCGGCACTCATGACATTGGAGATATTTTTCAAGTCATTCTTAGTTTATCATGTTAGAGTCAGCTCTGCCCAATGAGGTGGAGCCTAGGCAAGCTTTGATATGCCCCATCCAGCAGTGATTTACTTCACTTACCGCTGTTCTTCATTTCTAGGATAAAGTGCAACGATAATGGACTTTCACAGACCTTCAGTAGAGCCTAAAGCTTTGTAAAGCAAGAGCAGCATATTTCTTCTCATTAATAGAGGAGAATAAGAATAATCCTAGATTTCTTTTAATACAGTTGCCAAACTCACCCAGAGCCATAGCTCTGTTGAACCGTCCATTCCACCTGCTCTTAGCAGCAATGATTTTATGGGATTCTTTATAAATATGATTGATCTTATTAAAATAAGATCATAAGCACTCCTCTATCTACGACTGGTTTATCTCTGGATGGTGGGGCAGCATCTGAGGTAGTCATAGAATCTGAACCTGGGTTTAGACTGCTTTGATCCAGTTGAACTTTAGCAAAACTATTGTCTTCATCTAAGCCTTCATCTTGGATGTTAGATCCAGTTCCATCCAGGTTATTTAAGGAGGTATTCCCTTTGATCTCCTCCTCCATTTTAGATGTGATTATTCTATCTATGTTACAGGGATATGTACCTAAAGCTTTTAAGGTTGCTGGAATTAAACCTCTGCTTAAGAAACCGTCTCTTGACCCAGATGACTTGGTTAATTATAGACCTATATCCAATCTTCCTTTCTTATCTAAACTCCTTGAGAAAGTAGTTGCCAAACAAGTGTGCAATCACTTCCACCATAATGAACTTTTTGAAGAGTTTCAGTCTGGCTTTAGAGCTCATCATAGCACTGAAACAGCTCTGGTGAACGTCACTAATGATATTCTCATGGCCTCAGATAATGGACTTGTATCTGTGCTTGTCCTGTTGGATCTCAGTGCTGCATTTGTTTCATGATCTTGGCATTGATGACTGGCTTAATTGCTTGTTCAATTCACCTGTCTAACTCTGCCTGGTTGCTTATTACCGCTCATCTAATCCACCTGTTTCCAGCTCCTATTTATTCTGCCAGTTTTCCAGCCATCAGTGCCAGATTATTTGAGCCAAGTGTGGGAAGTATCTAGCTTACACTGTAGACTTAGACAACATTTATTGTAATTTTATATACAGAGTATATACAAAACGAATTATGGTTTAGTACATCTTTCATGACGTTTTCCATTCCTTAAGGTGCAGCGGTAATAAAATGTATACAGCGTGGGAGAAAAATCATGGTGCAAAAAAACACATTGATATGGAAGTTAACTATGTAGTGTTGTTTGAGTCTCTGATCTTGACCTCTTTCTTCCTTTGGTTTCATGAGTTTTGGTCTACCCCTGTTCCGGTCTGTTTCTGCCTGTTTCGTGTGTTTGTACTGCTGTTTAATCTCTGCCTGTTAGCGACCTTCAATCTGTCCCCTGACCCCGGCTTGGGTTATCCCTCTGGTATCTCTGCATCTCTCTGATCTTCTGGTTTGGACCCTAGCTTCGTTACCTGCTCTGGATTCTGCCTCTTGACCCTTCTGCTCTGTACGATCTGGCTTCTGCTCCACGGGCTGCTCTACAACAACTATAAGCTTTTTTGATAAAGCTCATAGTTAGAGTGGCTCAGGTTATCATGAGAGTTGTGCTGCTATAGGCTTAGACTGCTGGAGGACATAGGGACCCCTTTTTCATCATTCTGCTTCATTCTATCTCTATTCTCCCACTCTGCAGAATCTGTTAGTTCAATCTCTAACGTTCTGCTCTCTCTGCTTTTTCTCATAGTAGGTTCATCTGGTCTGTTCCTGTTTGGCTGTGACTCCATCCTGGAGAGAAATATCAGCTGTGCTGCTGCCTTCAACACCTTTGTTTCTAGATGTTGGAGCTTGGCCTGTTTTCCAGTGTAGTCCTGTTTCTCTGACTGTGACTAACTGGATGTGCTCTCTTCATCCTCTGACATGGGAGCTGGCTCGGAGCTCGTCTGCCTGGCTGTGTGTTTCCTGGACGGGGCCGCCTGTGGAGCTGGTTGACAGTTGCCTTTTGTGTTGCGAATTGGCGCCATAGAAATAAACTAAATAGAACCATATAGGTTCATTCATTTCCCCGTTGCATTCTCCCTAAAATGCAAATCATATCAAATCAGCCATACAAACATAACAAAACGTTTTTATTCTGATTAGAATGTGCTCATTTTTCAACTGTTATATCTGTAAGCGCTGTTATATTATGCTGTGCTGTGGTGGTGCGTGGTAGGCGTGCGACCCACGCAGCAGTCACAGGTTTGAGTCCCAGCCTGGTGAGCTGTGCTGCATGTTTTCACCCTCTCACTATAATCCTAGTTCCTATCTACATACTTTCAAAAACAAAGGCCTCTAGAGACTAAAAAAAACATTCACCCCAACAAAAAATTTTTTGCAACCCTCATGTGATCAATGGATGTTATTTACATCAGACATAGAAAACACCAGTTAGATAGTGATCTAGGTGTCCACCCTGTCCAAATAGAACAACTGAAAAGGATACCTCATGTCTGATCTAGAGAAGATAATTTATTTTCTATTTTTCAGTCTGTTATCCTCCAGTGCTTCCCTCAGCTCGCCTGTTCTTGATGTTGTTTAGCTTCTGGCCACTAGATGGAGCTGTTTCTCTGTCATTTACGGTGGCTGAGAAGTGCAAAACACATTTACAATTCAAAAACACATTAACAAATAAAAAACAAAATAACATTTGAAGAAACAAAATTATATTTTATGAAACAAATGTATTTTTGAAAAAAAAAGTTACAATTTTTAAAAACAAATTTACATTTTAGCAAACAAATTTACATTTTAAACAAATTAGATTTTAGGTGAGAGAAAGTTTCATTTTAGAGAAAAAAAAATACATTATAGGGAAACAAATTTACATCCATCCATCCATCCATTTTCTTTACACGCTTGTCCCAAGTGGGGTCGCGCGGGGTCCTGGTGCCTATCTCCAGCAGTCAATGGGCGAGAGGCAGGATACACCCTGGACAGGTCGCCAGTCCATCGCAGGAAACAAATTTACACCTAAAAAAATTATTTAAAATGTGAATTTGTTTCCTAAAATGTAAATTTGTTTGCTAAAATGTAAATTTGTTTTTAAAAATTTAAACTTTTTTTTTCAAAAATACATTTGTTTCATAAAATATAATTTTGTTTCTTCAAATGTTATTTTGTTTTTTATTTGTTAATGTGTTTTTTAATTGTAAATGTGTTTTGCACTTCTCAGCCACTGTAGTCATTCATGCCTAAAGCTGTAGAGGCAGGCCGGTTGTTGCTTTCTCGAATTCTTTCTTACCAATAAAACTATTATCTATGAAAGATTTAAGTTTATGATCTTAGATCGTTGATACAGCCTGAGATAAACTGAACCTTCAGGATGGAAGTTAATTTTCTCTCCTTGGCTGATTCTGAGGTCCTGAAGGTTCATTGAACTTTATTAAAACTTCTCCACAGGTTTTCCATCGCTGAGATTAGGAAAAGTGTTTGACTCCGGAGCCTGGTTGCCATGGTAATGCAGGCTGAATGCAAACATTCAGCAATAAAGCTGAGACCTGAGCAGGGATGAATTAGTGCGGATGGAGCATTCTTCAGAAAACCAACCTGCCTCACAGAGAGGTTAGATCAGGCACATCAGGTGGAAGAGAAATCCACAACATTAGAGTCAGTAGTTTGGATTAGATTTAGAGAAAAAGGCTGAACTTGGAGGAAGTCCGTTTCATTTTTTATGGTTGCTAAAGAGGGAAAGAACCAAGAAGGACGACCAGCAGGAGTTTTATTTTTGTATTTTTTCTAAAACTCTTACATCTCTGATCAGCGTTTAAAGAGCAGCCGGGGTTTTGGTGAACAGTGGTGGTGTGTTTGTGTCAGCGGTGTGTCTGTCAGGTAGATTTCCTCATCAATCATTCATAGCTCTACCTCCATGCTGTATCACCAGCAGCTGCTGTGCAGGCTTTGCAGACCTGATCACTAAATGTTGCAACCAGTTAGGAAGGGTTGCTCTGCCTGAACAGTTTTCCTTCTATCTTATCGCTGAAAACGAACTTTCCAAGTCATTATTGCTTGGATATTCCAAAAAAGTTAAACAATCTACTAGACTTTGTTCCAAGTTTGAAGACATTTCTCATCCCATCCAGGATTTTCTGTAAATATTTTATCGATTTTAAAGGATTATATCAGCAAAACAATATTCCCTGCTCTGTGTCACGTTCTCCACCTGACTGATGGAGACCTAATATAGTCTTCCTAATGCTTTTGGGTCTCTCTACAGATTCTGCAGAGTGGGAGAATAGAGATAGAATGAAGCAGAACGGTGAAAAAGGGGTCCCTATGTCCTCCAGCAGTCTAAGCCTATAGCAGCCTGGGAACATTTGAGCTTCTCCCAGAGAAAGACAGAGCAAAGTCTTTTACGGTGGTTCCCCTGACTGAGGCAGACTGAATACTTATCAGTCAGGTGTTACATAGCTTCACATCTGAATCTTTATAGATTTACACATTTTTGGGTTTTTATGCAACGTCTTTTGCTCATTTCTTAAATTCTGCGGAATGATCGGACTAAAATAGGATTTTCTTAAACCAATTTTCCCCTGAACTGAATGAGGCTGGGTTCTAAAGTGTGGAGCAGGATCAGTGCCCTCCTGTGCAAACACGCCCAGAGAGCCTCCTTTTGATAAGTCTCCTACCAGCCTCATGCAGTTTTGATGCAGCAGCTCAGGCAGTCACCTGCTGTGCAGAGCATCACCTGACTCACACATACACTCACACGTAACAAACATGCAAGCATCCATGAAGTGAAATTCAAACCCTCTTGAAGCAGCTGCAGCTTCTGACAACGTCAGAACTTCAATCTCAAGCTTTTGTCTGCATGGATCGCTTCGTTTTAACCTGAACACTTTTTAAAATTTCTATCTCCCTGCTACACGTTTTACATTTCAAGATTTCTGGGAAATGAAGTTCCAAAAAACCAAATGTTCCTCTTTTAAAAAAACAATGATTGAGGCTTTTATTATAAGCTAACGTTTAAAAAAAAGATGTTTTTTTTCTTTATTATTGTTTATATTTGAAAGTATTAATGAGTCTTTTGTCTTTATATAATGTTTCTTTGAAGAATAAACTAGAACATCAGAAATTAATTCTCATTTTATTAAACAAGAGATCCTTATTCTAATAAAAATGGGTCTGCTCTTGTTTTTAATCCATTGTGGGGCCATTTTCAGGGAAGATGCCATGTTGTGAGGACCGATGCCTGAACCCCACACTGGGAATTGCTGTTTTTGGGTCAGGGGTCAAGTTTAAGACTAAATTCGAATTGAGTTTATGTTTGGGTTTGGTATGAACCCATAATGGTTAGGCTGGAGAAATGAATGGAAAGGCCCCGCAAAGACAGTGTGTGTGTGTGTGTGTGTGTGTGTGTGTGTGGTGGGGGGGTGTTGTACCTGTCTAGCCCTCAGAGTGAGGACCATCTTTCTAATTTCACCATCAAATTGAGGACCAGTTGTTGCAAAGTCCTTACATGCTAGTTTGCTAATGGTTAGGTTTGGGGCTAAGGTGTTAATTGGGTTACGGTTAGGGAGAGGTATGCATCGGTAATGGTTAGGTTTAGGGTTAGGGCATAATAAGGGTTGAAAATGACTAAGAATCAATAAAAGTCATTGGGAGTCAAAACATGGTCCTCATTACATACAGCAGAACGAGTGTGTGTGTGTGTGTGTGTGTGTGTGTGTGTGTGTGTGTGTGTGTGTGTGTGTGTGTGTGTGTGTGTGTGTGTGTGTGTGTGTGTGTGTGGTGTGTGTGTGTGTGTGTGTGGTGTAAAGTACCCACCATTCTTCTCCGGTTTCCATCCTCCAGGTTCTGTGCAGCGCAAATTCTGGTCACCTGATCCTCCTTCCAGAATGGCTGCAGGTGGAGCCAGAGGAAGAGGGCATAGTGGGAGGAGCTTCCCACTGGGTCAGAAGGACAGGGTGACACCTGTGTGGACAGCAGGTGAGCGGGTGGCTCTGAGGAAAACTCTGTCAGCTGACGATCAGCTGCTGAGGCCAGCAGGAGGAGAACTAAAGCTGCTGAACGGACTGGAGAGAGGCCGAAAGAAGCTGCGCAACATCCATGTGAGTTTCTGCTCTTACTCTGAAAAAGGGGATATCTGTGGTTCTGCTCTTATTCTGAAAACATTTAGCTGAGTTTTGGTCTGTGGTGATACCATTTTAATGAGTTAATTCTGACTTGAAGAAATATTCACTTTATGCTTTTATTTTGAAAGTATTCATAAGAATCTCTGCTGTCATTTGATTAGTGTTCATACGTTTAGACTCTTACTCTGAAAGGACCTGAACAACCTGTACTTTTATACCAAAAAATACTGAGTTTTTGTTGGTACTCTATTCTGAAAACTTCCTTTTCTTTCTGTTGTATTTTGAAAATATTCAGTTTCAGTTCTTTCAGTTTCAATTCAGTTTTTATTCTGAAAATATTTAAAATGTATCCTTTAATGCTTAAAATATATATTTTCTCCTTTATTATAAGAATCTCAATTATTTTTGATGCTTATTTAGAAAATATTCAAACGTTCTGCTTTAAATCTGAAAAAATTAAAAGCTTCTTTTATTTTCTTAAAAGACTTCTTTGAGCTTCTGCTGTTATTGTGACAATAATAACAGTTATTCTCTGTTAGCCTTAATTTCAGAGCGATCTTTAGTTAATGGGAATGCTGCACCATAACATTTAATCTTACATGATGTGGATCTTTTTGTGCAACAGTTATTATATAATCAGATAAATAACAAAACAGTTCAAATAACATTTAATTTTAATGGCTGGATTTTCTCCAAAAGCATAAAAAAACAAAACCTTTTCAAAGTTCAGTTTAATAAAATCCAAAATGTATGGCTTTGCTAAAAGAAAGCTATTTTAAAAGCAATTCTATTTAATTTACAATATTTGTGTTTTTTGTAGTTTCTCTGAGAATTTCTGTAAAATTGCTTCTTTAAACATATTTCCATTTTTATCTTTAAATGTTCATTAAACTTTTGAGTCAGGCAGCTATCAGGCGCCTCTCCTTACTGTAGAGACTCATTTGAAGGAATTCGATGATCTCTGATTCATTGATTTGTCTGAAAACTTATTTTGTTCTAAATAGTATTTTGTTCTTTTCTCCGTCATTTAAATTTTTATCAGAATATTTAAAGTTGCATTTAAAAACCTGCAAGAATGGAACATTTTTCTATCATTATGTGACCAAAAGACACTGGTTTAAAATGTACATTTATTACAGACTCAGATTTAAAACACTTTAGAAATGAAAACAAGCATCCTTTGCTTTGTTTTCACAGTTCTGGGAAAGAAACTGTTCCTATATTAGCATCATATCAGCTTCTTCAAGAAAGTTTTTGCAAAAATGACACACCAAACAACAGACTGAGGAAACCTGCTGGACTGCTGTCATGGTTACGGCGTCACGTAAAGGTTGCTTTATGAGTTTAGGGTTGGTTAAAAGCTGCCATTGAAAAGAGAGGAATGTTTTGACCCGTGCTTTAGTCCCGATAGCAAACCTCAGCAAACAGAGCGATGAAGGGATCAGCTGCAGGAGCTAACTGTATGTTTGCTCTCCTTCTTTATGTTTTACTGGTATATTCCCATTAATAGGATGGATGTAGGGGAAATATGACCAGATTGATTTCTCTGCTTTTGTGCTGAAGATGAAAAATAAGCTGAAAACAGAGTAAAAGTTTACCTGAAACTCAGATCAAAAACTGATATTTAAACGTTGCTTTTAATGTTTTCTTTACTTTTTTCTGAGCAAAGCTGCACGGTGTTTTTACTCGTTCTCTTGTCGTCTGGTCTGCCTGGAAGAAGCTGCAGCTTCCTAACCTGCAGAGACCTTTATTGTGAAAGAGCTGCAGGAAGTGTGGGACCTTCTGGATCAGGGGTGGATGCGATGGGGATTCCAGCTTGCTGGAGCTTTTTGTTCTGTGTTAATTAGATCCCGTTAGCCCGGTGTTTGTCCTCAGCAGCTGGTTCCTCTGAGCGCCTGCTCACTGTTGACCCTTCCCGTTAAACCCTGTCAGACTCTGGTTGTCAGGAGGTGAGATCGTTTTGTTTGTGTGCAGCCTTAACCCTTCTCTCAGCTGAACCTGGTGAACCTCTCCAGTTACAAACTCAGGTTGCAGAGCAGCTCCACCAGCCTGTTGGACGGTGCAAAGACACATTTCTTCCCTTAAAATTCAGGTTCTTCTGCCCTAAAAGAGAAAAGGAAGATGTCTGTGGAGCTGCTAATTCTGATCTCAGCGATACGATCCCTTGAATTTATCCACATGTGGTCTTCCAAGCTTCTCCAGCAGAGCCACCGGCTTTCGACACAAAGCTGCAGAGAACCTCCTCTGAGCCTTTAGCCTCCTCTGAATGCAGCTGGAAATGATAGGATTACGTTCTGAGTGTCTGAAACCAGAAGAAACCATTCCTGATTCGTCCTTTCATCCCGATGATGATGAAACTGGGGGTAAAATAAAAAGGGACGTCTGACTCCATCACTATGGGTTCAGCTGTTCCGGATTCTTCCACTGTGGACCTCTGATGTATCACCAGGGATCAAAACTTTGCAGCTGATGAATCTGCTCAGATCTGCCTCATCATGAACAAAACTCCAATTATTCTCATGCTGCTATTCGATTTTGAAGGAAAAGGATAAACAGATAAGAAGTTTCCATCAGTCAGTAATTAAACCCCCACGTCAGATAATTGCGTAATTTAACTGCCTGCCGATTTATTAGGTAGAACCATTTGGTTGTAAGTGAACCCCAGTGGGCCTCAGCAGATGGCCGCTCACACTGAGCCTGGTTCTGCTGGAGGTTTCTTCCTGTTCAAAGGGAGTTTTTCCTCTCCACTGTCGCTACAAGCATGCTTAGTGTGAGGGATTGCTGAAGAGTCAATGAGTCGATGCAATCAGCTGGTTTTCCTTAGATGGAAAACTTTGAATCAATCTGACTGGATGATCTGGTGAACTGGAAAGTGACCTGAGATGACATGATGGGAATCGGAGCTATAGAAATAAACTGAATAGAACTGAACAGCGGCTAAGCCAATCATGTGGCAGCTCAAACTGAGCATCACAATGTGGACGAACCCGTTAAAGTGACTTTATACCTGGAATGGCTGCTGACCAAAAACACGACCATCAACATCCAGAGAGCTGCAGTCACGAGGATGAAAACGCCTCATGATCTGAAAAGACAAAATAAATTCAAGGTGACAGAGGTAGCAGTAGCTTTAAAGGACTAAGGAAAACACTACTGCCACCTACTGGTTAGTGACGTCACAGTGCGGTATCGGCTGTTGATCAAGTCCCAGTGCTGTATCTGGTGTTTGTCACAACGCGCTATTATCCAAGTCATCTTGAAAACATTCTTCTTCCAAATGTTGGCTACATATTACGGGTTTTTTCTCTGGCCAGAAGTTCGATGGCAAATCCTCCCTCTTCAAGTTGGCGATCCAACGACCAACCCGTCCGTGGAGGATCAGGAATCAGAAAGGTGGAATAACTCTTTTTTTCACTTTTACCCGATGTATTCCAGCATCCAGCTGCCATGCACGTGGGCATTGTCAGTTTCACTATAGCTCTGGTGAATTTCAATGGTGAAGTCCTCTGGAAATCTTCAATAATTGTTGTTGATTGCAGATGTGTCTAGTAGTTCCCATTGATTTAGCTTGTAAAGCGGGGAGAATGGCGCTAGGCTTACCGCACCGTGACGTCACTGCTGGAAGATGGCAGGAGGGAGGGGCTACTATATTTGGGCAAAGATGGCCGCTCCCAGACTCTGTGATCGTGATGAAAATTCCTTTATTAGATGGTAACCATCACTTCAGACTCGTTCAAACCTTTTATTAAAGACTCTTTGATTTATTTTAATATTTTAAAATTCGTACGGAATCAGCTGTTCCAATCATTATATTTCTGAATTCTCCCGAGTGGTGCCCGTCTTTACACGAGTGAATAAAGTGAATTTGATTGGTCCTTTATCAAGGGATTGTTGTGGCGGAAGGTTCACAAGCTAGTTTGGTTATGGCTGGTTTGTGGGAAGCATCTTGCTAACCAGTTAGCATCTTAGCGCTAGCAGGTTCCCAATGGGAAATTCCATTGGGACCAATAGCACTAAATTGGTGACTTAGAAACGACGCTGTCAAGGAACGCTATGGACAGAGGAAACATGCAAGAGGAGGAGAGTTTAGTGTCGGAGGTCGTGGATGAGTCTCCTCCGTTCTCCATTTTTTATTTAGAGGAGGAAAGCGGGGACGAAGATGTTGTGGAAGAGGACGCCAGGGCGGCAGAAGCTTGGTTTGGTGTAGAAGGCTTCCAGCCGTACATGTTTGAGCCCTTGCCTCGCAACGCTGCCAGTTCTGTTAGCTCTACGCCTGCCGAAGACACAGACGTCCATCCCCGTCACTGCTGGAAGATGGCAGGAGGGAGGGGTTACTATATTTGGACAAAAATGGTCGCTCCTAGACTCAGTGATCGCAACAAAAATTATTGTTTTTATTTTTTTACTGATAGACGCTAAATTCATTAAATCTCTGCTAACGTATTAGTTTCAGGTATAAATAATGATCCATTGACCGGACTTTTCCTCTAATTTCTCACAACCGCAGCATGTGGAAGAAAATCTTCCAGTTCTCTCAGACTGAGCTGGAAAATAACTGATCGTTGTTCAAACAGCACAGCCTGCCTGATCCGTCCGTTTACGACCGCCATCTTCTGACGGCTCCTTCAGGATAATCACCCAGGTTGAAGGGTCTCAGACGGGCTTCCTGCTGGGATTTTACCGTCTAGATCCATCTAGATCTGCAGCTACTAGATAAGCTCCAACAGCTACTGGGCCTGCCCCATCAGTCAGTGCAGGTCAGCCTAATAAAATGGCCTTTGATGTATTGCTAATTATTGAAGATCTGATGGATCTTCTGGACCAATCAGCACAGCTCAGCTCTGAAGAAGCTGTTACCATGGTGATAAGGACAGGGGGCAGGTGACCCTGATCCCCACCTTGGCATTATTAGACCAATCTTATATTTAATTTAGAATTCATAAATGATTTTCAGTAAATCATTTACTTCACTGTGA